CAAAAGGTCGGATGTTCGAGGCCCACCATGATCCGAGCCCGTTGCCTGAGGGTGAGGCAAAATTACCCAGCTCAGAAAAATAACCAAAATAATTTGCATTTAGTTCTTAAGCTGGCGCACAACAGCGGTTCTCCGTAATGAGCTGTGCAGCTCGTATGTTGGCCCTTTCCCTCGTGGATGAATGGTCTTAACTTCCTACTTCGCCTTTACTATTCAAAAGTGAACGTTTTCTCTGTCTGAATCTTAATTTTTTTGAATATTATTTTAGATAACACGGCACGAAGGTTTCATAGGAAGGAAATGAAATAGCCGATGCTGTACGAGTATATGTGTCACTTACGATGAGGTGTTCTGTGTATATAACAGGAGTAACGGGTAACCGCTTAAGGCAAAACTATCGTTTTCTATGCAAGTAGCATCAAATGTTTCAATTACTGTATTTTTTGTCGATAAGTTTTTTTGAAAATTTATATAATAACAATTTTCGAATTTTTTTCGGCCTTTCAAGCTCACCCTTTTCGCGATAGAAAAGTGTCAAATTTTCATCGCCCGAATGGCTCAGTCAAAAAAATATAACTATTCGCAAACCGATTCATAGAATACAAAAACTGAAAATCAAAATTTTATAGCTTGAATGACTTTTTTGAATAATTGAACTTTTCACAATCAGATTCAAGCTATGAAAGAATCTTACAAAAATAAAAACCTTAACGCTTGAATGGCTCGCTTAATTATTAAAATATATTTTTTGAAAACTGATTGAAAATATTCTATTTGAAAGGTTGCAAGCCAATAAAAGCTATTAAGTTCTTTAAAAATTTTGCAAACCAGTTCAAGCTATCGACATGACAAACTGAATCATTTCCAGTTTTGATTTTGGCTGGTTGTTTGCAAATAAATTCAAGTTACAAACTCAAGCTATCGTTCAAGCTACCCAATTCAAGCTAGCAAACTATTGAACCGGTAATTCATGTAAAGTTTTAATTGCTTGAATAATTTGTTCAAAGATTTGATAACCGATTCACGCTATGTAGTTTCTTAAAAAAATTACAGTTTGACTCGAATTTTTTTTACCTTAACGTTGCTTAAATGTATCGAGTTTTTTTGGAACCAGCTCAAACTGTTAAGTACCTTGAAGAGTTTCTAAGTTTTAATGCTTAGGAAATTTGTTGAGCAAGTCCTGAATGTCTTCCAAAGTGACTTAATTCATTGAGATAACAAAAAATAGCTTAAAACAACAGCGTTTAGATAGCTTGCTTCAAACGCTTCAATAAATTTTGCTAGTTAAATTGAGCTACTGCAAAATTTGAAATCGTTCGAAATTGTTTTGCTTGCCTCGAAACAATCAATTGATTTTGTCAGGCATCTCAGATTATCAAAAAGAAAAAAGTTACAAAAATTCGCTCAACTCCTCGCCTAGAAAAAAATTTATTTTAGGATCCAAATCATGATAAGGAAGATATTTTCCTTGTTTCTCAAATAAATCGCTCAAAAAAGTTGCTCCGAAAAACTCTAAATTTTTGCAATTCAATTCAAGCATGTGAAACTGTTTGACAGTTTCAAAAATTAAATCACTCTTTAACTTCAAAAGTTGAAGAGTGATTTAACTTTTGAAATTTTAACAAAGTTAAATTTAATTTTAAAAGTTAATTCACTCGAAAACTTGCTACAGAAAAATGTTGTCTCTAATTTATTTCAAAACTTTCAAAATTTAAGTTTCCAAATTGTAGTAGTTTCGATATATTAGTAGTGTTTTAAAATATTAGTTCCTACGTGATCAATTTTAAAATCAATGGGGTTGAATATTTTAATAATTTTGCCCTAATTGAATGTCTTGAACATTTTTTTTAGATATTCTTGAATTTTGACAAAAATTCATCGCTTTTGAACTGCATTTAAAAAATTACTTGTAATCAGCTTTTTCATCCAACAAAATTTTTTGAAGAAATCCTATATTCAATTGCTTGAGTACCACGCTACAGAAAAAGTTTCCAAAACACTTTCATGCTCCAAAAACATTTAAAATGTTTCAAATCTTCCTCGTTTCAAATTTTATTGAGCAGTCCAACCTGACAAAACAACTTGAAAATTAGTTCGCAAATTCATTGCATGATAGTTTTCTAGAAACAGCCTAAAAGTTTAGCGAAACAAGTCTAATTGTAAAGTTTTTGAAACAATTTTAGCTTTGAAAGTAACTTGTCTTGAACTGTTGCAAATTTTATTTGCTTGATAGCTAACTGATTCGAAGAAGTTTTCGAATTCAGCGATTTCATCTTAGCTATCGATGCAATATCTTACGGCTTTATCGATTGATAAAAAACAAATAAATCAGCCCAATTCAAAAAAAACAACCTGCAACCTTCCGAAACTGCGAAGCTGTTTAGCTTGTTGGCTAGCTTCAGAAAGTTTGAAGTTTCAAAGATTAAATTTAAACTTTTAAAATGTTTTTGAATTTTTTAAAATTTCACTACCTTCAAAAAAAAAAACTTTTAGTGGAAAAAATCAAGCTATTAAAATGATTTGAAACGTTTTATTGTTTTTGTCGAAAAGAGGCTCATTTTTGTTTTAAAAAAAACTATGCAATTAAGTTCAACCTTTCACATTATTTCAATCCATTTGAACATTTTGAGGTTTTTTCATTAATTTGTATGTTTTCAAACTAATTTTCACATGTCTTCATCAATTGAAATAATTTAAAAGATTTGGTTCCCATTTTTTTTGCTTAATGGCTGGCTTTTAAAAAACCAGATCGACTTTTAATCAGACCACGATGAAAAATGCAATAGTTCAGTCAGTTAAGATAATTTTAATTTTGAAAAAACAGCGGTTATAGAAAACAAAAATTCGCTGGCAAACTATGAAATCATTGTTTTTAACCATACTAAATGAATGCACCTGTCAATAAAATTTGTTTGTTGAATCTCGTCAGCAGTCCATGTTTTAATTTTCTGTAAAAAATTGCTCCCGTTAAAAGCCGGTCCCCTCGAAATTCAATCACCGCTAACTAGTTACAAATTATACGACCTGTTTATTTTTTTTCAAAAAGTCTCTTGGTAGAAATTGTTGCATTATGACAATATCACCTAAAGTATTGAAAAACTCAAGAAATAATTGCCTCTCGTAAAATATCTACTTGCTGAAATTTCAGTTTAATAACAAGTCGATAGATGCCAAACTTCGTACAAATCAAAACATCTTTTTCAAGTAAAATAGCTTTTCCTGTTTTGTATCATCAAAATAGGAGAAAAACGGTATTTAAACTGGTTATCAGCAGCTTAAATAAAAATTCAATGGAATAATTTAAAAAATGCTTCTGAGGCCAAGGCACAAACAAATAGTTAAAACACTGTTAGGCTCAAAATATCAACATAAAAGACGAATATGCGGAATCTGCAACAAAATTTGCGGAATCCGGAAGAGTTTGTGGAATCCAAAAAGAAAAAATAAATCATGTGTATAGTAAAATTGAGCTGTTGCGGAATCCACATGTGTAAGCGGAATCTACAAAAGGTAAGTAAAAACCACATTGTCTTGCGTATTCTAGTTAGATATGTATTAGCGTTTTAAATTATATCTTTTCTTTACCAGGTAATCCCCAGCAAAACCAATCTCAATTACTGCTGCACACGGAATCCACGGAAAATTTGTACGTGGAATCAACTTACATTTTGCAACATGTTTAGAGATTTTTCTCTGGAATACTTGAATAAAAAATCCAGTGCACAGCTTGGCCTCGTAATGACGGTTTCTGTTATTGGTGCAATATAGCCATGAAAAATAATATAACTGAAAATTCGGCTGATATTCAAGAAACCGACAATTCTTCAATCCGCCATATCTTGGAGCCAAAACTGCATCAGAATTAAGTAACAATTGCATAAAAACATTGACAATCTGTTGTTATGTTGCATAACAATTTAATTTTTGGCTTGTTAGACAGGTTATTGTTCCGACTTTCGATACGAAAGTAACATAATATTTGTGCTCGGGGTGGGTTTTTTTTTCTTCAGACAAATTTCGACTTTTTAACTAGCCATTTTTGACGGAATTTTTATATCATTGAAAAGGTGTTGTTGTCCTGAGCTTAAATTTGAAACAATTTTTCACCTGTGATCCTTTTTCGTAAAGTTATGAGGGTTTAAAGATTACCATTTTGGCTAATTTGAGACAATTAACGCGCGATATATTTCGCGCTATTAACGCGTAAGCGGAGATTTAATCCGTCTTAGAAGTCGTTCCAATCTGGTTGAAAGAAGCTTATTTGCCAAAATTGATTTGTTACAAGGAGCGATATCTAACCTTTTGATTTTTATATGGCGTGTGGGGGGATGATTTTTATAAAAATTTTCAAATTTTAGAAAAATTTTTTTTTTCCATTTTGTTTTATTTCATTTAATTTTATAATGTTATTACTGCTCCATAAACCTTAAAGGCTCCATAAAGGCAGTCGGAACATTCAGGGCTTCGCCCTGATACGAGCAGTCTTGTTCTTTTTTCGGCTTGTTGGACTTTTTGCTTGTTGGCCTACCACCGAAGTTTCAAGTTTTCTAGACCCAAAAACTAGCATATTTTTGCTCACATGCCATGCAGTTTACCTGCTAAAACTGCTATTATTTTGTTCATATGAATATAATCGGTAAATTTTATAGTTGACCTTGTTTCACTAAAAATGAATCTAATTTAGATCAAATTTTGACCTGACGTCAAATTGCAGATTTTCATGACAGGAAGTAGCGTACTTCCATTATATCACCTAAACCCACAGATTATCGAAACATGAAATCAAATAACAAAATTGTGCGCCTTTTGTGAATTGAAATTTAAGACACAAGGATGTTTTGTTCGAAATACAAACGAAGACCAATTGAGATTTGAAGGCCTAAATTTCATACAAAAACTTATCTGTAAGTAAATAAAAGAGTATTCAATAAAATATTGACATCTCGTTGAGTTAGGAAGTTCATTGCCAGAGAATCCAAAGTCCTCTGGTTGAACAAACAAGTTATGACTTTCAAACTCTGATAAAAGCAAAAGATAGTGAACACATAATTTGTTTCCTGATATCAATATTTTGAAGCTCAATTTTACAAGCTCGCGACTCGGTTTTTTATGTTTTTCCAAATTTAGTAATATGTACGATTCGACCATTTAATTGAATTATTCAAGTCTGTTTGCATCTTGCATGACATTTTTGGTTGAAAGCTCATTTTGTAGTCCTGCTATCAAAAATGAGTCCCCTCTAAATTAATTAGCGCCAAAATTAATTATTTACTGTACTCAATCTCATAGGTTTGTCATAGCTCGTCATTCACAAAGCAATTATAAACAAGTCTACAAACTCAATGAATTTGACTTAATGCAGCAAATAAAAACAAAACGTTCAAGTTGAATTTAATCCATCGAGCTTTTTAACAATAGTTAACGCAGTTAATAAACTCGTTTTCAAGGGAACAGACTCGATTAGTATTTACAGAAAAATACCGATCACAAATCCAACGTGAAATATGGAGCATCAAAACAGAAGCAATTCTGTAACTCAATCATCATCAGACGATGAATGTCTTTCGGCGACTACCGATCATCGCGAGGAGTATCAGGAACCCGAATCGTCATTTTCAGCATCTCTCAAACCCCCTGACAAACTCACCTGGCAGGTCATAATGGCAACCGTCTTCAGCACTTTAGGTTGCATGAACTTCGGCTACGCATTAGGATGGAGTGCTCAGTCCATTGACAACATAAAAGACGATCCAGACATGCCAAATTTCTCCGACACGCAAAACAGCTGGATCTCGGTGAGTTTCGGGACACCAAAATCCTATCTATTCATTATATTTTTTGTGTTTTATTCACAAATTTTTATGATACATTGTTTTTTAAAATAATTCTCTCTAAATTCGCTTATTAAAACTAACAAAAATTGAGAAGTTTAAATATTATTGCATGGAAATAGATGCAAGAATCTTTCTAGTATATGCTCTTTTACTTCTGTTAATTTTCAGTTCTGCTCAAAAATGAAATCTAAATAAAATATCAATTTCAGTCCATTCTCACCATCGGAGCTATCCTGGGCACATTCATCGGAGCAGACCTGTCAGACCGACTGGGCAGGCAGCAGACACTGATTGCCACAGCTATAGTGGCCGTAGGCGGATGGATTGTGGTATGCTTGGCGAACAGTTTCGTCCTAGTGGCCGTCGGCCGATTCGTGGTCGGAATGTCCATCGGAATGGTCAACACGTCTTCACCGGTAATTCATTCATGTCGAAGTAATTAATTTCTTTCCGAAAAAATAACAATTGTTTAAAGAAAAAAAATAAAAAAAAAGAAAAAGCAAAAAAATGTTCATGAATGTTTAGAAAAATTCTCTTGAAACGAATTCTATCTTTCTTTACAGCCCTACATAGCGGAGATCACTCCCCCCAACTACCGAGGGGTGACGGGGGGTCAGTTTCAGAATGGTGTCAACGGGGGCATCTTCATCTGCCTCCTCATCGCCCCCTATCTGCCCTGGAGAACCCTCTCGGTTCTGGGGTTGATTTTCCCCTCTCTGATGGGGGTGGGGTTGATGTTCATGAGGGAGAGTCCGGTTTGGCTGTTATCAAAAGGCCATATTGACAAGTACGATAAGAGTTCACGCTTTTTCGCTGGATCCACTCACGTGTTTTACACCAACATAGCACCCTCTTTCAGTGAGGTATAGTATATTGTTATAACATTATCAGATTAGTTACAAGAAAATGAAAAAAATGATGTATAGAAAATGAAAAAATAATTCTAAAACATAAAAAAAACTGCATTAGTGGTTCGCCTTTATTTTTTATTTCACAAAAAAATTAGGTATTTAGATAAAACCTACATTTAAATATGTTATATGTAGAATATTGCACGTCCTCATAATTTTCAATCAAATTATTAATCAGTTATCCAATAATGAAACAGGATGTTGAACTTTGGCCTTACACTGACTCTGTTTTATGAACACACTCCAGAAATTGATGATAGACGTGAATAAACTAACGGCTCTTATCAGATGAAAGTTGCTTAGTTGTACAGCTCTGTGATTGATAGCAATCAAAGCTAACCAGGACAAAATTATTAAAATCGTCAACTATTCTACTCTATCGAGCAGACAACACTGGAAAGTTCAAGATAACGGTCAAAATTCAATGTATAGCTTCAAAAAAAATGTTATCCGCGCAACCCCAAAGCAACCCCCCGCTGGTAGATGGATTGTCTTAAGTTAACCTTTTTTTGTTAATTAGCACCATCCATTTTTTGTTAGTTAGAATTTAATGTGTTTGAAATAAAAGTAATTGCAGAGCCAGAGCCAGCAGGGCCCGACCGAAAGTGTTTCTGTGAGATGGAGGAAGTTGTTAAGGAACCCACAGACGTATAAACCCCTGTTGCTCTGCATGTTCATGGCCCTAGCATTCCAACTGTCCGCCGTCACAGTCATCACTTTCTACAACGTCACTATATTCTCAAACGCAGGTAAACAATACCCGCTTTGAAATTCCATGAAAAAAAATGATTATAATTGAGTTTCCTTGTCAGTCTCCACAAAAGTGACAACAAATCGATTTCCTTTTTCCATCCACTGTAATCGATTTTTTTTTTCACTTTTTTAAAATGCGAGTACCTTCAATATTTGAACTGTTTTCACTCTTTTCCAATTCATCAACAAACCCCCCCCCCCCCCCCCCCCCCACCGTAAAATATAGCTCCTCTCATCAAAAATTAGAGAAACTATCAAAAATTGTTATATCCTTAAACAGGCTGAGCATACTTCGATGGATGCTCTGCTCTTCGCAAAAACACATCAAGATCATATAGATTGTAAAGTGTTTGTTGTCTCTGGTTTGCAGGTCTGAGTTCGAGCAAGGCGAACATGAGCAGCCAGATCCTGGGTGCCTTCCAGCTGATCATAGGAGTCGCAGGCAGTGTCCTCTCCACCACATGGCGACGCAAACCACACTTCCTCACGTCCAGTCAGTACTAAGAAAAAAATACAGAAGTTTTCAACGTCAATCATTTTTTCAGTTTGATACTTCCATCAGAAAAAAAAACAAAAATGTCTCAAAAAGTCAAAAAAAAAAATCAAAAATGTCTCAAATGTCTCATAAATTCCTGGGTTGTTCATGCTTCGGACAATGATCAAGAACAATTTCAGTGTGCATTGTTGTTAATGGATGCCCGAAGCATGGAAAAAATTAGAAAATACTTTAGGAAATCTCGAACGCAAAAATGATTGACGTTGAAAAGTTCTTTGTAATTTTCAGAACAATATATTTTTTATTTGAACGTTAAATCCCAAACCCTTTTAGAACCTTTAAATTGAAGTTTTTACCAAACAACTAATCCTATTTTTAATGATCTCAAATTTTCAAGATATAAATAAAACTTTCGCAGGTTATCTGACGAGTAGTGGATTGTGCCTGATAGCAATATCCTTCCTGGTCAAGGAGAAATGGTACGACTCAAGGTCAGTTGCTCCTCAAACAACAATCCCTGGTGGTATATAAACCAGCCGAAGTATAAACGAGCCGAAATATCAACCAGCCGAAAATACATATGTGATAAATTATGAGATAGTTATGTAAAAATTATTTAACACTTACGAAAATTTTGCAAATTCATTCATATGATGTAACTTTTCGGCTGGCTTATAAACTGCGCATTTTCAGTTGGCTTATATTTCGGCTGGTTTATTTACTCTCATAATCCCTATACTATGCTTACTCCTGCCGGCTCTGGCAGGAAGTTGGCAAAAAGTTCCCGGCAAAAAATTCTGGCAAAAATTTCCTGGCCGGAAGTCTAACATTTTCCCCTGCCTATTTAACCCAGTTGCCTTTGCTAACAGCTTCAATGAGTAAATTTCTACAAACAGTTCCTTTTTTTGTGCATATCCATGCTGGATT